AGCTTATCAGTCTACGCAAGCTTTAGCAGAGCTCAGTAACACGGAGATTAATAACTCATCACATTAATTTATTAATTGATTTATTTACTGCCTTTACAAAATATAACTTGGAGTGAATGCAGACACTGAATTCTGTATTCTGAATATATATTCCTAATACTTAGATCCATTACATCCCAATCCTGGTTAAATACAATTTTAAATACTTTTACATCTTCTTAAGTATATGAATGAGGATAGTAATCCTGCTCTTACTCAGTTATATTTTACTACTACCTAATTCCTTTTGTGGGTTTGATTTCATTCTGTTACGTTGGTGACTGCACCTGTATAGCTGCACTGTTTTCACTTTTGAGGTTTATTATTTATTTTAAACAAAGAATTCACCAAAAACAGAAATGAACATGTTTCTCACTACACTTTTACTCATTATTTCACCAAAGCCACAAAAAGAGAAGAAGTCTAACAAGTCTAATAACCTTTAGTTCCAAGCCTGGTTTTAGGTTTGTATACCAGCCAAGAACACACCTTAAGAGACCCTTAATCTTACACACTGAAACCCAAAACAAGACTGAGTAAAAGTAATGTGAGGGATGAATACAAGCCTGAGACCTTAAATTTGCAGTCTCAAAGCTGAACTCAACTAATACAACATTTATGCACAATTTATCAGCCAACCTCCACTTAACTCATTGACAGAATAGGACCCCCTGTGGTTCGGCAGTCTGAAACTGACCACTGATGAAGGACTAGAGGATGACTAACACAAACTGTGCATCAACAGATGAGCTACAGTCTCTAACTGTACACTAGCGTGAGGGAGCTATGAGAGAGGGGTTTCTGATAAAGTGGCCAGGGAGTGTGTGGCAAAACCCCAGCAACAGAAAGGAAAGCTGATAAAATGTGTAGAAATAGATTGATTACAGTCAGTAATTGTACACCTACAAAGTATAGTAGGTGTTTCTGATAAAATTGTGGGTACAACGTAAATGTTTAATAAACTTAATAAACCACTAACTCAAATACAAACATCATTTAACACACTTTTAAGTGTTCTTTACTTGTATATTTTCTGTTATGCACTTGTCTAGCATGCCTAGGTAAAAGGGAATTCCAGAGATTTTTCCAAATTCCTGCATAATTAAGTGGTTAAGATGTAAACAGAGTTATTCAGAGTGGTTTGGTTGGATTGTTCATGGTCGTGGTGATAGGAACCAGACGTCCACCTCTAAAAGCTCCCTCACAGAAAGTTATTACATGTTATTAAATGGTTGTAAATACACTGCCTGATGTCTGAGGCATTGATTTATGAGGTTTTAAAAGATTTAAGATTTAAGATCTGAAAATAAGGTTTTGGCCTTAAAACTTGTATGTTGAAAATTCATTCATGGTGGAGAGGTACATGCAGGGTGTTGTGAGGCAAAATGGTCCCCAGGATTTTTTTTTTCAGCTTTATCATAATTTTCCCATTATCAACATTACAGATAAAAGCTCAGAAGACACGTGTAGGTTCACTGGTGGTTTTGGATAGTAAATAAAATGGCTAAATTTGTGTTGTAGTCATGGCGACCCCTGGTTCCTATCACCACCACTGTAAAGAAATCTGAACCATTTCACACCAAACCACTCTGAATCACTCTGTTTACATCACAACCACTGAATTATGCGGAACATTTCAAAAATCAGTGCGATTTTCCTTTAATCTGAAAGAGGCCATTCACTCTTGCCTGTGCTGCTCACTGTTCTATGAATTAAGCTCTTCAGTGAGTGATGTTCTTCTGTTAGCTGATGTTCTTCATCAGCTGTTTCTGGGTGAAGTGTGTGAGTGTGTTGGTGTGAGAGTGTTTAAAGTGGTGTGATGCTTTTAACCAGTGAAAACATTTACTCATATCTCTCAGCAGATCTGGAAGGTGAAACTTGTAGATGGTGAAAAACTTCACACCCAGCATGAGCTCAAGACTAAGTGCAGTAGTTCTTGCTGTGGTCAGGAAATATTCACTTTGAGAGTCTGAAAATAAACTTATATTGTCATTACGCTGTTCATGAGGAAAAATAGACCCTTAAATACAAATTCACCCAAAAGCTCATTGTTTAGCTGCTTCACCCACAAAATGGTGAGAATCTGTCTTTAATATTCTCAACTAAGATGAGGAAGATCTCAGTTAATGTGAGGAAGAGCGCAGAACCACACTAGAACAGAGACTTTACAGAAGAAGAACGGATAAACCAAACATTTTACTGCCATTGAAGAATCAGCGCTGCTATGGTGAGTGAGTTGGCAGCCAACATGGGACCCCCCCAAATACTAGGGGGTATTTTACACACTGCGTAGAAGCAAGCATATATATCAGAGCCATGCTGTGTGATGGACTCTGTAGAGGTCAGTCAGCAGCTTGTGTGGAGATGATGTGAAGTTTTCTTCTCTCAGCTCTCTGTGTCCCTCGTGGTGGAAAATGTTTTGTGGTTGAGCCCTCTGTGAGATGTTATCAGGGTGGTGTGTGTGAATGTCTATATGAGGTCTGTTCAATCCGTTTACTGTAACCCCTCCTCAATGTTCCTATATTTTTATATTTAGAATATGTAATGTCAAAAAAAAAAAACATTTTTGTCATATGAATCTAAATCTTTCATATGTATGTACATTTGTATTTGTACCTTAGTGTTGTAGAATAGTGCATTTACATTATTTGTCATACTCTTTGCTGTATATTGCACCTTTGAGAGGCACAAAATTATATATATACACAATTTGGCCCTGCTAATGCATCTATCTGCAGCACTGACCGTGCATCTCATATAAACACTTCTGTAAATATTTGGGTCCAGATGTACTAAGGCCTTTTTGCTCAATTCTGATCTTTGCCTCAGTTGTTCATATTTGTGTATAAGTGACCCATATCTGTATTTAATATGAACAAATCTGTTCCCTGAAACAACCTGCTTGCACACATCCTAATCAATAATGTAATGTAAGTGCTGCAACAAATGAATGAACTAGCAGCACAAGCCTTCATTAACATGAAGATCATTGGCTCTTGTAGATGGAAAACACGAAATGCACTTCTGTCTCATAGGTATTCTAGGCAGAGATGTAGGAAATGCAGCTGGGTATATATTTTGTTCAGTTTACTAAAGCTGCAAATTTGCATGCACTTATCTTCGCCTCACGCATTTTGTGCCACCTTTTTCTTCTAACATCATGCATTCAGTCCTTGGTCAGCAGCGCAGAGAGGAAGAACAGGATGTTATGTTCAGTTAGTGACCGAATGATAACTATCACGGTGACTGGGCCTTAAATAGGCGTATTATGCCATATATTCTAAAAGTATGAATTACCCAAATACCCCATTCAGAGTACTATCAGAAAGTCATAGTCAGTATTCAGATGGTAAAACTACTTATGATTTCTGCCTACTAATGTTTCATCTCTCTATATTGTCCATTTCCTGCTGTTTACATTCAAACAGGTCATATCACGTGGATAATGAATAAAGGCACTTCTTTGGTCTCTGCAAAATTCCATTTGTTTTATTTCATAGTTTGGATGTCTTCACTATTATTCTAAAATGTTAGGAGTAATCTAAGGAAAATAAAAACCCCTAACTGTCTCGCCTCCTTCGGACATGGCTGAGCCTACAGCCAACCTAGCAGCTCGGGACTGCATTTCCCAAAACCCCTCGCTACATCATGTGACTCAGAACTCACACAGATCCACCTATCCCCGCTAAAGTTCAGTCTTCTGATTGATCTCACCTGACTCTTGTTACGTGTGTTTGTTAGTTTAGTATATAAGCCTGGGCATTAGCTTGGGAACTTCTATCATCACTCTAATGTGCACACTGAGTGTTTCTGCTGTGAGCGTCTGCTTACGTTTGTCAACATTACACTAACAAGTAGTTGTGTCCAACTTTTGACTGGTATCTCAGAAGGAAGAAATCTCAGAAGTAAAGTAGAAAACCTTGCTAGAATGTCACTTCAGACACTGACCTTGAAGTCACAGGTAAGGTTTTCTTTCGGTGACTTTTCCATGCAGATCATGTTTGTGCATCAAACCTGCACAGTACAACAGAGCACTGCCACTCTTGTGTCAGCTTTACCTTTGTGCAGGACATTCACTGTCAAATGGTTTTGTTTTTTTATGCCTTTCTTTGTCTTTCTGGCCAGCATACATGCAGTTTTATGTCAGAGTCTGTTGGCCTTCCAAATTTTGCCTTGGCTTCCACAGTTCCCTTTCACTGCCATTTCTGACAGTGAGTTGTGAGCTGGGCACACTTCGATATATTTTTAAAGCCTTCCCTGCTTTGTATGCATCAACAGCCAGCTGCTTAGAGGAGCCCCTGGTTGTTGAGTGTTAGCACAAGAGTTAGAGAATTTATTATTTTCTAGAATTTATCAGCTGACAGTCCTTAATGGCATTTCTTAACCTGGCTAAACAGGTCAAGTCAATTAAGGCCTAACGTGGTAATAAAGTTCTGAGATTTTAGCCTTGGAAGGGTGTTTAAACTTTTGCACAATCCACAATTACTATTTTTTTTCCACTTTCTACTTAAGTTAATCAATTATAAAGTAACTATGCAATATTCTTTGCCAAAAAATGTTGGTTTACTGCAGCAGTTGTGTTTACTTCTTTTCACTTCAAAACTCAACAAAATATGTAATTTGGAAACTGTCTACATCAGTATGAAAAATACTGCCTACATTAATGATTAAAATGATTTCATATTAAAGATGTACATTTGCATAAAAAATCTATGAAAGATTACAGGGGATCTCAGACCATTCCTTCACCAGTTTCTGAGGTCACTTAGAATTTCCACAAATGCAGAAATGCAGATGTAACTTGATTTAAAGTGAAGTGTCACTATGCACTGAAATGCAGCTAAAGCTTTATTACAAATTTAGCAATACATAACACAATAAGGTTCTGATAATTGCAGTAGGACAAATCATTAGATAAGGACACCTCTATGTTTTAAACAGGAAAACCCAATTATGCATATTTCATTTTAGGCTACTCTTCAAGGTGCTTCACAATCATTTTGAATTGCTTAAGAATAATAAAATAAAAGTATAGAATAAAATCCATTAATTTCATAAAAAGCATGCAAAGCAGTATTGGGTATAATGACATTTGTGTCAGTCCATCATTAACCCATTAACAGTGGCCTCCAAACACCTGGAAAGGTATATTATAGAGGTTGGTCAGCTGTTGCTCCAGGAGTTGGATTTGTGCATTTCCATAGGGTGTGAGCTGCAAAGCACCATTCCACCATGCGAGGGCACCTCCACTTGCTACATGTCCATTGTTGTCCCGGCAGCAGTATGCTGTCCAGAAGTGACTGGCCACTCTAACTGTAATTAGACAGAAATGTAAGTTTACTGTTTAACATCCACAAGAGAGAGAGTGTGGTAAGTTAAGCAGTATTAGAGGTTGTTCAGACAACAGCTTTTTAATTTCAGGCATGCCACTTCTGGTCTTTAAAAAGAAACAGGATGTGCTTTTAGGGGGTGGGATAACACAGTGATTGACAGGCAGGGAAACAAGAGACAGTCACATTGTGCATTGTTACATAAACAACAATGAAAAGAAATACATGCATGAAAGAATTTAAAACACTCCCTTAGGGGGATTTGTACTGTATGCTTATCATGCAGACCAAGGTGCTTTTTAAAGTGTTTTAAATGAGAGAGACACATGCTGACCATTTTTACTTGCAAGGTGCCTTGCAGTTATGGGGGACAAAGTTGATTAAGTTTTTTTTTAAAGAATGATTTGAAATAGTAGTACACATGGTTGTTACAGAACAGAAGTATATCTATCACAAATATTCAAACATATCATCCCCTTGGAATTATGAGGTTGTATCTGACATTTTTGGCAAATTGAGTTATTCACATATTCTTATTCTGTGACAACGTCTTAATATTGTGTGGGGTGTTTTTTTTTTTTTTAGTTGTATGCATTTTTGGACTCTTTATCCAGAAAACAAAAGGTTCTATCTGTGAGCCAATCAGCACTTTGAATACACACAAGAGGACCAATCAGGTTCTGTTACTTTGTCATGTCGCCGTACTGCTCTGTGACTGTGGTTAAAAGGAGCACAGGAGTCAAATATGAGTGTCACATAATGGGAAGTTTGAGAGAAGCTTCAAGATTGAGGATTTCACTGATGATCTAATGAAGGACAACCGTACAAATGAGAGGCAAATTCAGTCTATCATTTTAGATCTTGCTGAGGAGTTATATTTTCATTGTTAGCTACCATGCTAGCCAGGTGATGCTAGTTTGCTAATATCATTCTAATGCTAATACTAGGAGGCAAGCATTGAAGGCTAAATTAGGGTTTTTGGAGAAAGGTCATTCTAACAGTTACCTCTGTATTAAAATAACAATGATTGCTGGATGATTGTAACATTAGATTTTAGTGTAGCCTTTAGCTAGTCAGTGATACCATGCTACTAACTTTTGTCTCTCTTTATTTTTGTGATGACCCTGATCCCAGACATGGTAAACATGTTTTTCTTTTTCTCCAGGCTAGTGGGGTAGAGGTAGCAGAAAGATGGTCCGTGGAGCCATGGGTCTTGATGTTGATGTTGATTTGTTGTGAAACATTGAAAGTGTTAAATTTTACTAACCAATAAATAAAAGGGTTCAAATCTTTCTAAACAGATGCATCATGCAAAGAAGACTGTTCTGACATTACTAGGCTAATAATCTTCTCGTTAAAAGCAAAACATTTATCCCAGTGAAGATGACATAAATTAGCATTGCACAGCTGAGATGTACACAGCAAAGTGAAAGGAAAAAACACACGAGCAAATTTAAACCTTCACATGTACAAGCTAAAGCATTCACTTTTTTCTGATATTTTTTCTTATGATGACTTTATGCATGGAAGTAGTCGGTTTTGTTTTTTTCTGATTAATTTAATTTAAACTTGGGCTGATGTTTCATTTGTGTCTGGCTTTGGAAACCAAACATCTCTAATCCTCTAATTTATCAATATATCAGGTCTCGCTTTTACAGATTCCCCAGGAACATCTTTTGTATATTTGTATTCAAAGTACATTCACAGGAAACTCTGGCTCTCTGCTTAAAAACAGAAAGCTTGAACAAGTTAATGGCAGACAGTTTGAGGGTTGCTAAGCAGTGAATGGAGGAGAAAATGAAATGGATGATCAGGAATCATGTGGATGCACGTTGCTACTTGTAAAGTTCCTGCGGCCAGTTACGGCAGTTTTCGATTTTGTCATAATTGCTCATGTGGCTTGGGCTCCTGGGCATGTATAAGCCCATAAAACTCATATGATGATCCTGGCCTGTGTAGATTCTTGTTAGCCCTACAAAGCTTTATACTAATTAAGTTGTTATGGTGTGGGATCATCAGGGGTGAAAAGAGTACTGAATGACTCATACGTAAGTAAAAATATTGCTATTGTAGTAAGAGTGCAAATTATACAATGACAATTGGGGGGCTACCTTTTTCTCCAGGGCGTAAAGGTCACCCTTTACAGCACAGGTGCATGCTTCAGTGAACTGAAGGCTTACGATCCTTACACCAGCTCCTACGGCACATACCACACAACAACTTTTTCACCCTTACTGTCCTGCTCAGTATTAAGCCTGCATGACAACCAAAAAGGCTGCATTATCATCTCTATGTCCTAATTCTTACAATTTACAAGTTTTTTTAGCACCAAAAAAGTGCTGTATATCTCCTATGCTCTTTCTCATGTTGACTCTGTGAATGAAATCTAATCTGAGATCAAGAAGTAGTCATACATTTGAACTAATATAACTAAATAACCTTCAGGACACATGGATTTTAATATAGTTTGACTATCCATTCAGGAAAACCCCTGAGTTCCTGAGTGAAAGCAACAGGGGTGCCTATTATGTCATCAAGGTAAAAGACTAACTACACCACCACAGTCACACAAAAGACTATTAAAATGAAATAATAAATTGATGTTAAAATGTATCTCTATAACATCTAATCCTACATATCTGAGCACCTGTGTTAGCTAAAATTAGATAACATATGAAATTTTATATCTGTAATGAAATGGCAAGCCAACACTGGGAATGAAAGGGCAGGCTATCATAGACTTCAATAATGACGCGAGCCACGGCAATGATGGGAGAGAGGCTGGCAGACGAGGCATACAGCTAAAGTCTAGGTTAAGAAATGGGATGATCCACTTTAGCAACACGTCAGTAACATGTTTGGGTATAAAAACAGCATCCCAGAGAGACTTTCAGAAGTAAAGATGGGGAGGGGTTCACGTTGCATGACGATTTAATTCCACAAAATTTAAAGATTTAATAAACACTTCAAACAGAGCAGTCTGAGAAAAGGAAGAGAGGACAGAGAGAGAAAAGACAGCATACAGGAAGCAGAGGGTTGAAGCTTAATGGAGATTAATCAATGGAGAGAAGACAGAATGAATGACAAAATGAGTATGAAACAACATATTGAGCACCTAGAGAGCCTCAGTGGTTCCTGACCGGAGCATGACATGGGTTGAAATTCATCGTTCAAAAGCACTTGTTTTTAAAGATGCTAGCCCAGTTCAGTTCATGACTGTTATTCATTCAGCCAAATTTTGCTAAATTTTTGCATGAGAAATAGACTAGTTGGTTCATCTCACTGAGCTACATTTAATTATATTTGCTTGCTCACAGGTGACAAGATGAGACCTATTACATGTAGATTTTTTTTTTTTTTTGATGAGATGTTACCTCTGTTGTTGATAGTGTTTTGAGATGGTATCACTCCTGTTACAATGTAAGCAGGGTTCCCTCTACAGTTGTTCTCGATGTGCTGATTTATTGGTTGCTCAACCTGGTGGAACCATTGATTGTTGAAAGCTTGAGCTTGTGGTGCTGCATTGGTCAGGGTGAAGGTTGCGTCCGCTTGAACATTATTATCATTATGGTAGACAGGATATAAATGACCCTTTTGCATTCCACTGTTTGCATAATCATTATTGGTAGCCTGCTGATCATTGGTGAGCTGTGAATTTTGTGGAAAAACATATAAATAAATAAATCTTTATGTCTGCAGTGATGACAATTGGTCACTTTTACCAGTTAAAATTCATTTGCACTGAATTTAGTTGCCACATGTAAATTAAATTCTAAAAACAGTAATTAGAAAATAAATGCTAAAAATAAATTTAATTCTAAAAGTAGTAACTAGAATTTCAGCGTGCCAATTTAAATTTAATTGTGTGGGGAAAAATTACCACGTTAAACTTTTCATACTGAACAATTAATGCCAGTGAAACTGTTATTGCAATTATAATAAACTGGAAAAAAGAAGACTAGAAATGAAATCTTACATGCTAAAATGTAATTCCTACATTTAAAAGTTGAATTTGAAGATGTTATAATTAGATTTTTATGCATCCTTTTTTCTAGTATAAAGTGTTTCTGTTAAAGAAACTTTGTTTCTTGATTAAAAGTTGAATGGTTTGCAAGGCCTGTGTGCTGGGACTCCCACTAATATCTGGATGCTTTTCTTTCACATTTCTTTTTTTTCACCTTGTCTGCTTTTGACAGCTGACAGCAGTAGTTTGCGCTAAATTTGCTACCGTGTTTATATGTTCCGCAATCGTCTCATATCTCCTTTTGACATTATTTAATTTTTGTGCATCTTTACCAAACAATTCACTATCATTTGCTGCCCTTCTTCCCTTAAAATCCGCAGCTCTGTTTCTGAGAATTTTGATTTTCTTTGTTTCTTTGGTTTTCTTGATTTTATCATTTCAGGTCTTTAATATGTTTGACTTCATTTACATGTGGATTTTGATTTGCTCTTGCCCTGGTCAAAATACCACAGTGTTAAAAAGACACAGGCACGCTAGTCACCATGGTGACATGAAGAGCTCCTATTTACATTGCTGCACGTTTTGCTGTTACAGCTGACTTTTATGAATCTGGCCCAAGATGTGATGTGACACTTTTGTGATTTTTATAAAAAATACTCTACATTGATATTACATCAATCTACAAATACAGTTAAAATAAGGTATGTCATGTAAAAATTTACTCACGCCCAGTTCTTGCCGCCATTGATCATTTCTAACGACTTGTGCATGATGAACATGTAGGTAGGCAGAGTACACAGGAATCCTACTCTGAGTATCATAAAGAGTGGCAAATCTATCAACACCCAAATGTTCCTGACAGATCTGCCGATAACGCTGATTTGGGCCCTGCAGAATGGTGGGTGTAACACGGCCATTAGGAGTGTTCAGGAAGAACTGAGGACAGCCATTTGGTGGAGCAGCCAAAAAATTAGCCACCAGCCTGCAGGAGGCCAGTGAGCTGAAGGCCAGGAGAAGAATCAGTGAGATTCTAAGAAGGATCAGGAGACACTTCATCATCAGTGGAAGCTCTGAAACACGTCTCTGAAGACAGGCAGAATGAACTGTAATTAATTTCCCTGTTACTGAAGTCTTATTCGAATCAATGCACACTTAAAGCTCCAATCAAAACTCTTTTGAATACCATAATCCACAACTTTTTAATTACAATAGTGCCCTAAAATGTATATCTATGCAAGATTATCACACTCTCGATCACCAAACTCTGCACTATTTTGATGATTCTTAATTTTATGATGATTCTGTATGCTTATGGATACATGCAGTGTTTTGATTCATATAGTTTTGAAGTCTTTTTGGAGAGAAATTAACTAGTTGCATGCAGCCAAAGATTCATTTTTCAAGTGAAAAGTACAGCTGAAGCATTTGGAGGTCAAAGCTGTACTATTTTTTTTCCCCTTATTTAACTCATTCATGTCCAACGCCCAAATATAGTACGATAAATAATTGAAGAAATATGTCACCGAATTTGTTCTGATTGGTCAAAATTGATGCAAAATTGTATAATTAAAATTCTTTTTTTTAAGAATCACATATATTCATGTTGTTATTTCACATAGAATGGTGTGTTTGGTTAAAAATATAATAAATGATGAAAACATTACTCTTGTACTACATTTCTGTATAAAACCTCAATCATTGAAATAAGTGTCTAGCAATAGGAAAAAATAAAATAATTTCTCTTTTGTGTATATTTTATATTTATTTTGAAAACAGCCCTCAGCTGCGGCTTACCTGCACTGCTCGCTGTGTAGGAGGTTCAGAAAATGTTCTTCAGTGACAGTGCTCAGAAAGTCGTAACCCACTGTTCAAAGTAAAATAGGCCACACCTTCCTTAAGATTTCCCAGAAGTCTTTCAGTTGATCTCACCCACCATACACTGAAACATTTGTACAGTTGTGGTTATTTTTCTGGACACATTGAAATAAATGGAAATGATCAAACATGTTTAGTGGATTCACTCACAACCCCAGGTACCTATGACAGTTTAATAAACATGCCTGCTAATCATTTATGACATTGAAAATTATTTGGAAATACTGTAAAATATGAGAATAAATATGTGAGTGATGAGCATAAATATTAAAACAGCAGGTTGCAACAAGGATAAATGGAAAGGCTGTCCATCTCTGAATGATTAACAATGGAAAACTCCAGAGCATGAAGAAGAACTGCTGAGAGGAACCAAGACTCAAAGGTGGTAAAAACTGAGAGAGCAGTTATGTGGAGACATTAATGAAATAATCATTAGCAGGATTTAAAACCAAGATTCTCACCTCACAGATGTAGTTGTGAAAGCTCAGAGGTGAAATATTCAGGTGATGCCTTTTCACAATAACATCTATTAAAAAAAGCTTATTCATTCTCACCTGAGCAGTGAGCAGCAGGCAGTTTGGTGCGCTGAAGGACCAATGAAGTTCTCCCAGAATGAAGCAGAGTGAGGAACAATACAGCAGGCAGTGTCATTTATACAGTTTACAACAGAGCAGGAGGAAATCCATATCTTGTTGTCTCAAAGATTGATTGTTTTTTTGTTTTTTTTGTTTTTTGTTTGTGGTAACACTTTGACCGTCCTCACTCAGAGTGCTGATAATTTTGTGAGAAATGCACTTTATAAACAAACTTGTCTTACTTTACCTTTACATCAAAAGTGCTGGAAGCCATGTTAACCAGACTGAAATGCATGTCATGTGATTTTTACATTGCAATGAAAATTAGTCCATTACACGTACATTAATGTGGTTATCCAGCATCTACATGAAATGGATGGTTATTATGGCAAAATTCAAGAGGCAATCACCACCATACCATAATAATAATAATTACTCAATCCTTGGGACACCAGTGCATTTAACATTTAAACTCAAATAGTGTCAATTAACCATATCACTGCTGTCGGAACAAAACCTCGTATCTCCAAAATGGTAACTTTACACAAAAATGAAAAAACCTACTTTCCTTGTAATGTAACCAGACGTTTTTTCAAGTCAATTTGGGCTATTTGTGTTTGTCCATTTATCATGAAATCTACACACAATGTAAAAGCCAACAAGCATTTTCAAATTATGTCAAAAACTGAAAAATGACAAAAATGGAGATAGGAGGTTTTGTTCCGACAGCATTGGTATGATACGATTGTACTTGTGCATTTTCCAATACCGTAATGAGGAAGAACATCACTAAAAATAAAACCTATAAAATATTAATCCTTGAAATAACAGTGCTAGTATTTAAATCAAGACAGGTGATTAAACTTAAACTAACATAACGCTTTCCTCAACAATGTATAGACTGCTGGATTAACCTTCTACACCATAAAACTTTAAATACGACAGAGTAAGAAGGAGAAAAAAATCCTCTTGGAATTAGAATTAGAATTTTGTCAAAATTGGGTTTTTTCACATATTCTTATTTTTTGAGTTGTGTGCATTTTTGGACTCTTTATCTAGAAAACAAAAAGGTTCTATCTCTAAAGTCAAACTCTAACTTAGTTCTATCTGTAAGCCAATCAGCACTTCGAACACACACAAGAGGACCCATCAGGTTCTGCTTCTTTGTCATGTCACTGTGCTGCTTAGTGACTGTGGTTGAAGGGGGCACAGAAGTCAAATATGAGAAAATATCATGCAATGCAAAGTTTAGGAGAAACTTCCATTGATGATCTAATGAAGGACAGCAGTACAAACAACAGGCAAATTAAGACCTTTTTAATCATTTTAGATCTTGCTGAGGAGTTTTAATTTCTTTGCTAGCTACCATGTTAGCCAGTGTCACGCATTCAGTCAACTCTATGGAAGACATGGACTTCATCTCCCAGAATCCTCTGGGAGATCACATGACTGAACATCCACACACAGAATCCAGCTCCGGAGAGAACTCCATTGCCCAGAATTCAATGGGGTCTCATGTGACTTTGGACTTTCACTGCCGAACCTATCAGCGCTCTCAATCCCCTGAGTACTAACTATGTTCACCTGTGCATATGATCATATGACAGATAGTTAGCAGTATTTAAGCCCGGGCTTTAGTCTGAAATCTTTGCGAGGTATTGTTTCCCAGAAACCTACTGAGCGTTATTTACCTGTTTGATTATCCTCTGTGTTTTGACCTTTGCTTCGTTTGTTCTGTTTTTGACTTTTTACCTCTTCCCTTGGTACTTTCGCTGTTCTGACGGATCTGTGTTTTGACTTTTGGACTGTGTTTTTGATTGGATTTGAGTTGTGCCCTTTTACTTCCGGTTGGTTTGTGCTTAATAAACCACCTTTATTTTTTCATCCGCAAGCGTCTGGTTTTCTGTCACGGCGTCACAGACAGGTAATGCTAGCTTGCTAATGTTAGTCTGCCAGCTAATGCTAATATTAGGAGGCAAGCATTAAAGGATAAGTTTGGGTTTTTGAAGAAAGATCATTTTAACAGTTACCTCTGTATAAAAATATTAACGACTACAGAAAGATTGTAAAATTATATTTTAATGTAGCTTTTAACTAGTCAATGGAACCATGCTACTAATTGTTTTGTCTTTTTTTATTTTGTGATGACCCTGATCCCTGACATGATGAATACGTTTTCTTTTTCACCAGGCTAGTGAGGTAGAGGTAGCAGAAAGAGGGGCAGTGGAGCTGGGGGGGTCTTTACCAGACATAACCAAGGCCACATCTGAGGAGCCAGCGGCTTGGAGATGGACAGTATTATAATACTTTGTTGAAAAAATAAGCCAAGGCTGTAGAGCTCAGAATCTACCACCTTGATGATTTAGAGGTATTTTGTGAAATTGAGATGAAACATTCATTTTTAATTGTTAGTAGAAACTGAGTTGTACCTTTCTTTATACCTAAACAGCAATGCTTTTCTGAATAAGGAAAAGATGATTTGTCCTAAAACAAGAAATGCCATAAAAATAAATTAACAAAAATAAATGCCATTAAAAGACATTACATTTCATGTTCTGATAATGTAAACACTCTGTTACACTAATTTTATGTTTTAAAACAAATTATGAATATAAACTGGTTGTGTTCCTTGAAAATTGTTGCTTCTTTTCATGTTTTGTCAGACAGTGCCTTATAACTCCAAGCAGAAAGTGAGTTCTCAGGATTAGAAGGTTCTATCTGCATTGACCTGTTCTAAAAACTCATTTAGAGATTTCATAGGATTTTGATATTGTACATTTAGAATAAATTCAGGGTGTCTATCATTGTCATGTATGAAAGAGATGTGTTCACATATCAGTTTTGCTGTTTAGAATGTAAAATCTTTGAAGCTTAATATCTCAAAACTGCTCAGAATACAGACAGGACCTTATAATTCCAGACGAGATAAAGTGTAAAATACAAATGCTTAAGAAAAAATAAATAATGAAAAAAGAAGTTGAACATCTAGGTAAAAAGTGCCAAAGCCCTTCTCTGTCTAAAGGGGCAAAGCCAGGTCATTTTTATTTTGGCTGTCATGAAATGAGAAGTTTCACTGAAAATAATACAGTTTTTCAAAATAAAAAAAATTGCACTTTTAATGTGAAAAATACATCTGAGTAAAATGACATAGCAGTCCATATAAATATCATGTAAATCATGTATACTTTATAAATGTTGATTTAAACATTCATGAACATGATCTGAAGTGTTCATGAATGTATTATCAAGTGTTTATATAAGATGTTATAAATGTGCCATGTAGACACCCTTCAAGTAAAGTGTTAACATTACATATCTTGTCTTTGCAGCCATAAATTGCACTTTCATTTGAAAAGTACAGCTACCATTTAGAGCTACCACTTACACCTAACCTGTAACATTAACCTAAGCTGACAGTTACATGAAGCATTTGGAGGTTATCTTTGCCAAAAGCACTATTTCTCTCCATACCTAACCTATTCATGTCCAACAACTAAATTTAGTATGGTAAATAATTTCACATAAAAGTGGTCTAAAGTGATGAAATTATCTATAATTATATTTTGAATGAATATTCTTTAGTATCTATTTTGATTTTACTGGAAGATTCACTCGAAAGGGGCCCTGAATATTCTGTAATAACTCTCTCTAGGACGAAGCAATCTGAACGAAACAACATGCAAAGTGCTCTTCCGTATATGGAGCTTCAAACAAGCTGGGATGCCCCTGCGTAGGAGTGATGAGGTAGGCGCCAGACTGCCGTTGCGACGTTTAACCCCCGTTTGCAAATTCTGGGTGCATACCCCCATACCCCTTCATGTGTCTGGCAGAAAATGGAGATCACTTCCAGCATCACATGTAATGCAATCGATTACACATACATCAAGGTATGTAGCGTATTTATTTGGTTCAGATTGCTTCATCCTAACGGGAGTTACAACAGAATATTCGGGGCCTCTTTCGAGTGAATCTCCCTGTATCTGATTACTTGTATGTTTCACACACATATTAAGAATCAAATTTTTATTTTCCATTTGCTTGGTTAGCAGTCCAAGATTTTAAATGATAAGAAAAACTCACTTATTAACAAAATGGTTTGATTGATTTGAAACATGTACTCAAAAAGTGCAGAGATCATATGGAGAAAAGGAAATGTAAAAATTCATATATGGACATTAATGGATTAATCCTATCATGTATGGGTCTCCACGCTGCCCTTATAATGGAGGTTAAGGGGTTTTAAAACATTATGTCCAAAACTGCTAAGAAGACCGTTTGACAAAACCTTCCCTCTGTGTAACCTGGTAGGTATGTTTGTTGCTAAATAATTAGTTACTTATTGTAACAGTAACAAACTGGTAATGAAATGTTTAATGAGAAAGTTGTACGAATCTAAAAACTCGCCAATTTTATTGTTGTTTATAAACAGTGAGTTAACATAAAGAAAGATAAAGAATATAACTGCAGTCATGATTGCATTACCCACATTATTTTGAAGAACTGACGCTCAAAGTAAGTTTGCACTCTAAGAACATTTAGTGTGTCTGTGCATCACACTGCACCTGACCACTTAAAGACATAACAGTTAAGAAACTAAGCAGAAACAAGTGAAATAGTATTTTACAGCACTGACACCATCATTTTAGGAGAACTACTTCATAGTTTTGGGATAATAACTCTAACATTATAAAACTCCATTAGGATTCAAAAGAATCAGGATGATATGTTGATTAAGCAGATATTACGCTGTAAGGGCTGGACATCTTATAATGTAAAATGTAATTAATTCAGCTACAATGACAGACTAATTGGTTAGAATTACTCAATTTTACACACTGTAATTCTTACTAATTATATCATTTTGTATCAACTGGAAAATTAACGTTTTATTGATGGGTAATTAGAGTTCATTACATTTTTTTCCCATTTTATGACCCGTTACTGCTACAATTAATAACTTATCATTTATTAACAATTAGAAAATTAGAATGTGATTTTTAGTTTAGCACAACTTCTTACCACAATATTATCGTATAATTACCCATTTATCACCGATCTATAAAGTGAAGTGCTAAATAAAACGTCAATCATTGAATGTGTCTGGTAACATTCGATTACAGGTAAAAATCACAATTACAAAATATTAAAAATATATTTATTTTGCTTTTCTTATATGGTTAATTTGAAGAAAGCCCTCTCTGCACCTTACCTGCAGTGCTTGCTGTGTGGTAAGTTCAGAAAATGTCCTTCAGTGACAGTGATCAGAAAGGCATAGCCCACTATTTAGGCTAAAATAGGCCACACCTTCCTTGATATTTTCCAGAAGCCTCTCTGCTGATCTCATCTACCATAAACTGAAACACTGTACAATCCTGCTTGTTTTTTTTTTGCACCTTTATCTGAAATTAATTGAAAGGATGAAACTGTGTAGCCACATGTTTGGTGGATTCATTACCAGCCCCAGGAACTTATATAATGAAGAAGAAATATGTGTGTGATTAACATAAACCCTAAAACAGAAGGTTGCAAGAGGGATAAATGGAAAGGTCTGCCCATCTCTGAACGATCAACAGTGGGAAACTCCAGAGCATGACAAAGAACAGTTAAGAGGAACTCGAAACTCAAAAGGAGAAATTCTCTAAGAGCATGAAGAAGAACCACTGAGAGGAACCGAGACTCAAAAGGAGAAACTCTCTAAGAGCATGAAGAAGAACCACTGAGAGGAACCCGAAACTCAAAAGGAGAAACTCTCTAAGAGCATGAAGAAGAACCACTGAGAGGAACCCGAAACTCAAAAGGAGAAACTTTCTAAGAGCATGAAGAAGAACCACTGAGAGGAACCCGAAACTCAAAAGGAGAAACTCTCTAAGAGCATGAAGAAGAACCACTGAGAGGAACCGAAACTCAAAAGGAGAAACTCTCTAAGAGCATGAAGAAGAACCACTGAGAGGAACCGAGACTCAAAAGGAGAAACTTTCTAAGAGCATGAAGAAGAACCACTGAGAGGAACCCGAAACTCAAAAGGAGAAACTTTCTAAGAGCATGAAGAAGAACCACTGAGAGGAACCCGAAACTCAAAAGGAGAAACTTTCTAAGAGCATGAAGAAGAACCACTGAGAGGAACCGAGACTCAAAAGGAGAAACTCTCTAAGAGCATGAAGAAGAACCACTGAGAGGAACCGAGACTCAAAAGGAGAAACTCTCTAAGAGCATGAAGAAGAACCACTGAGAGGAACCCGAAACTCAAAAGGAGAAACTCTCTAAGAGCATGAAGAAGAACCACTGAGAGGAACCGAGACTCAAAAGGAGAAACTCTCTAAGAGCATGAAGAAGAACCACTGAGAGGAACACGAAATTCAAAAGGAGAAACTCTCTAAGAGCATGAAGAAGAACCACTGTAATATTTGATGTATCTCTGAAATCTAATTTCACTTCTGGGATCTAAGAAGTATAAAAAATGCAAGATTCCTTTTCATTTTCCATAGTTCAAGAATCACATTTAATATGTGGCATAACATTAAAAACTTTCATGCAAGTGTCACTTGTAGGTAGTTCATGGCGCTGCTCTCTGTCTGTTTACTTTGGAGATTTGGTTAACTGTCCTCTCAGCTACTCACTCACAGTAACAGGTATTGTTCTATACGTGTGTGGAGATATCACACACTTCTATGAGGAGAAAGATAACATATATTTTACATAACGGTCCAGATTACGCAGTCTGATGTTTCAGTGAAGGTAATGAGGGACTGAAAGAGGAATTACCTTCAGACTTAGGTGAT